ATAATGTTTGTTTGTTGTTTAACGCCGCACTCAGCAATATTTCAGCTGTATGACGGCGGTTGTGGAAGAGGGCCAGATGGATTGTTATAGTCCTGGGTTATCGCTGCGACAATAATCTTCCCTGCGCGTTCTGTAAACCACATATGAAACATCAACGCACCAATCATCCGTCGCCAAACTCCAGTGCAAACATGCTGCATTTTAACTCTTCATGATATAGCGCAACGAATACACAACGGTATAGCAGCAAGCTATTGCTGTTTTACATTTTACAGGACGCACATGCTTAACTTGCCCACAAAATACCCAGTTGTGTTAACTGTAGAATTGTATGAAAAAAGTTTACAAAATTAACATGCCTTTATACTTTTTATATGCTTGCCGTAAAGGGCGACTATGTTTGTCGTAAGAGGCCTAGGCGACTAACGGGATCGGGTGGTCAGACTTGGTTGATGTATGTCATCGCATCCCAACTGCGTGGATCGATGCTCATGATATCAATCACTGGATTGTCCAGGCTCGATTATTAACATACCGCCGTCATATGGCTGGAATATTGCTCAGTGCGGCGTTAAACAACAAACAAACAAACAAATACAATATGGTATCTAAAATTATTAGCAGATTGGAACTAAACTTTCCTCCTGTGATGTGCAGTTCAAAGTGACACATAGTTAGAGAAATGCGCAATCAATCACATCCCTGAACCTAATAAGCGAACCAGAAAGAAGACAAAATAAACACCTGATAAGCAAGTTTAACACCTTATCCAGAGTGAGTGAGTATGGTTTTACGCCGCTTTCAGCAATATTCCAGCAATATCGCGGGGACACCCGAAATGAGCTTCACACATTGTACCCATGTGGGGAATCGAACCTGGGTCTTCGGCGTAACGAGCGAACGCTTTAACCACCAGGCTACCCCACGGGTAGGTCATATAATCACAGGTGACCTCCCTATTGTTGACAATAACAACCTTCGTCAGTTGTTCAAATATGGACCAAAATATCGTGAGCAGCCGCCGGGATCACAACTTTAATCATTATGGATGCTGTCGAAGCACATGCCCCAAAATGGGCCAAATTGCAGAGTGGGTTAAGGCAGTGTGTGATGTTGTCATTGGCAGAACGCACAAACTTAAAAAGAGGAAAGTGGATCGAAGTAAACCCATTGTGTCCCAGCAAGATGTCACCCAAACACTGTCTGACCTACATGAAACGTTTGTAGTTTTTCCAACCGACAAGGTCTCAAATAACACAACAATTATCTACTCTTCAAAAAAGGTAGGGGATCATGAAATGTAAATGTTAACACCAGAACATTAATAAGTGTTGACGACAAACACCCTATGCAAGAACGTCTGTAAAACACCAAAACACATCCTAGATGTTGCACAATATGTTGATAGGGTTCAATTCTATCCCCACTCTTACAACTAGCAATGGGTGCTGGGGACATTCTAACCCGGGTCCGAAAAGCCTGGTTTGATTCCATATATGATTAAATAACAATAACATGATGGAGATGTCATATTCGTTCCCACGGGTGATAGGTGTACATAGTCTATGTGTCTATGTATATACCGTATTCGACGTAATAAGCGCCCCGCTTAAATAAGCGCCCACGGCGATAATTGCTAACATATTGACTAGTGAACAATCCCAATTAGTCACCCCTTCCGATGTACACAAGACTTATTTATTCGCGTATAATACACACTCGTGTGTTATATGCACCCTTAATTATGGGCAATGAAATTCTGGAAAAATATATCTGTCGTACATAAACATTTCAGGCTTTCAGAATAAACCACGAAATTTATCTTTCAACTCTGTTTTATCCCCCAAAATAATATTCTAATAAAAGCCCCCTATTTGTAATTTTGAGAGCGCTTATTACGTCGAATACGGTATTCTATGTGTTTCAGGAGCCGAGTCCTGGAAGATAGAAGGTACTTCGTTCTGGCTAATGCTGCCAGGTGATGGTGGGGAAGATGTGGAGACGACGATCTCCGTGGCTGGGGATGAAGGAACCACTGTCACACTTACAGCAAAGGAGCCAGCGCTGTCATTAACTGATTCAATAGATGTATCTGGAGTCTTGAACATGTCTCTAGGCCCGGATCATCATGTTGACATCCTATCAGGAGGGGACAGTCAGAAGGCGATCCATGTTGTCAGTAACAACAGCGTTGCTGTGAACGTGTTGACAAAGGGTAAAACGTTTGCTTTGTCCTACACAGCAAATCCTCAGTTGGTTGGGGGCTACTTCTCTCATAGAGTCGTCACGCACTGTCCAGAAAATGACACTTGCAATTCAGTGATTGCAATCGTTGGTATCATGAATAGTCCACAGATCATAGTCACTGTGAGATCACCAACAGTTGTCACAATAAACGGTGTTGATTACACCAATGGTGATGTCGTACCTGTGTACATATTTCAGTATGAGATCACACTGCTCAGATGCAAAGGGGATATTTCGGGGTCTCAGGTCTTTACGCCCTTCCCAACAAACGTGTTCTCAGGCAGCTACTGTGATAAAGGTGGCACCTTTGGATGTGACTTTACGTTTGAACAGATACCCCCCAAAAGATTATTAGGGTCTCAGTTCACCATTGGTCCCTTTCCACCAAGTGTCAATGGATTTTATAGAATCGTTGCTTCAACATCCAACACCGCGATTGTCAAAGATGACAGTTCAACTTTGACTGTCATTAACGAAGGTGAATTCTATGATATAAAGGATATACTTCAAATTTCTAAAATTGAATCATCTTCACCTGTCCTTTTAACGATGTTAATCATTGACGGAACAAGCCAGGACAGTCACTCAAATGCCATGATTGTAATTCAACCATCAACGGAAAATAGAAAGTATTATAGAGTTATCTCCCCTGAAGGATATAGGTCCTATACTCAGATGGAGGCACCCAGGGGACTTCACAGAAATGTATGGATCAACAATCAGTTGGTGTGTAGCGCGGATATTTACATAGAACAACTGAACGTGACATTGTTGTTTGTTCAGCTGGAACAGGGTATCGGTAACGTTGCCTGCAGTGATGACCATCCCACATATGGATTGGTCACCTATGGATTTCGAAACAATCTCGCCTATGGGTATTCAGCACTTCCTGGGAAACCAATCAAATCCCCAGAAGGTAACAGTGGTAAGTCCCACTAAGCTTTTGTTTGTGTGTTTGTTGTTTAACGCCACACTCAGCAGTATTCAGCTGCATGATGGTGGTCTGTAAATAATCGAGTATGGACAAGACAATCCAGTGATTGACATCATGAGCATCGATCCACACAATTGGGATACGATGACATGCATCAACCAAGTCAGCGAGAGTGACCACCCGACCCCGTTAGTCGCCTCTTACGACAAGCATAGTCGCTTTTTAAGCAAGCATTGGTTGCTGAAGACCTATTAAACACTTCAATTAAATTTATGCTATATAAGTAAATAACCGATAGACACCAAGTTCCGGCACCTCTGACAACGGTATGACACACACAGATATAGATACTGCTGGCAGAGAGGCTGTAACACAGCGTGTTCCGAAGCAAAAAGCTTTTGATTGATTTTGACATATCTTTTGGGTAAAACTAACTGCTGTTCGACGTTGATTTCTGTCTGCAGGACATGTATCACAAGCAGTAAAGCAGGTTTGATTTCTTTTCGTAAACTTTTTTTTATCGTCCCTAACATGACTATGGTATAAAACTCCTTAAAGAGGCTCGGGACGATTAGAAATCCTTCGTCATTCAAACAACTTGTTGCGGCGAGAGAACACCGACGAATGACGCATGCGCCAAGGAACGCTTCCGGTTGTTTGGGTATTTACTTGACCTACAGTTAGAACAGCGTCTGCTGACCAACAGTTGCCAAGACACTAAGGTGCTACTAGCACCGTAAAAGGGCAGGAGATAACAGTAAAGATCCTACTTTTCACGCAGTATGTTTCTTGTTGCTATGTAAACACAGTAGCATGTTTAACATTCCTGTTCTATGCCACACAAGTGCCAAACGGAAAATCAGAATTTGAAGTTTAGTATTTATTTTTTGTAAAACATTTATTCATCTAATCTTACCGGAACTGTGAAGATCCAGGGTGGAATAGGTCTTCAGCAACCCATGCTTGCCGTAAAAGGCGACTATGCTTGTCATTAAAGGCAACTAACGGGATCGGGGGGTCAGGCTCTGACTTGGTTGATGAATGTCATCGATCCCAATTATGTGGATCGATGCTCATGATATCAATCACTGGATTGTCTGGTCCAGACTCGGTTATTTACAGACCGCCGTCATATAGCTGGAATATTGCTGAGTGCGGCGTAAAACAACCAACCAACCAACGAATCTTACTGACTCTATGTTTTATACAGATATAAAATGAAAAGAAATGAAAAATAATTGACTCATTCTATTTTCACTAAATTTCGACCATTGACCGAAATATTTCAGAAAAAAACGTAAATCAACTTATATAATTATCATTTAATACTGAATTGAAAGAATGAAAAGAAAGAAGCATATTTCCAACGTCATCAGAAGTAAATCGTGCCCAGTTGTGTTTGTTGGTATTCCTGGTGTGTGTGCTGCTATCTTTCTTTTCATTCATTCATAATCACTAGTCTGCCTTTCACGCCCAGTGGAATGTGTTTCGACAAAATAACTGGACTAATTACTCTCTGAAGTTGACCTTCAGAACTTCCCTGATAGCATTAGAAGTCACAAGTCCTTCCTCCGTTCCCACTCTTCAGACAAATGGAAGCTCTTTACATCATGTCTTTACAACATTCATGCTCTTTAATGAAGCTAAAACAATGGATACTATCTGCACAAAACATTCACGAATATTATTTTTTATCATTGAACATGCTTTCCATTCCGTATGACATTTAAGGAATAATGTTATGTTATGATTACTTAGTCATAGTGAGTAATTCTACTTTGCATATTGAATATTGTGTCTATTCAGGTGCATGCCCAAGTTCGTCTCCTGATCTAATGGACCTCAGCACAATCAGCTTCTCAAGTGAAGAGTTTGTTCAGGAAAGTACGCTCGGGTCTACGACGATGCCACAAGACAGCAGCATTTACAAATCAATCTCCCAAGACAAACGTCCTACTGCAGATGCTCATTCAGAAACCCTGGCTCAGGAGAGTCACGTAATACAAGGTCTTGTAACAAGCAGGACGTTTGCTGGGCCCAGTTCTACACTCACCACCGACACCCCAGAACAAAGACCTCATTCATCTGTGACAAGCACCACCCAGAATTATCTTGGTGATACGCTGATACTGACTTCGGCTGACACGGAAATGAATACATTCCAAGGACCCCCGACCATGATAATGCCATCAACAAGCGGAATAGACGTGGTGAATACAGGGATGGACACGTTCCAGACAGATAGCGAAAGCACTCGAATTATAAATGTTCTAACCACTATGTTGTTGCCCACCTTAATGTTGGACACATCCGCTACTCTTTCCTTTGACCGTCCCCTTCCTCCAACCAGTATGCATGGTAGTGTTCTTCCCAACAGTGACAGTGTTCAAGTCGTATCAGCCACAGCAACAGATATAGTTACGTCATATCCGTCCACGATTGCGCATGTCTCATTGCTATGTTCCTGTCCATGCTGGAGACAGACGTTACAAGGAACCAAGGCTGACATTCTTAAACAGCTTGACAGCATATTGGAGGAGGTTCGAAAGAACCTGACTCTCGATAAAGACACACTGTCGGCTACAATACGGAAACGAATCAGTGCCCCTGACGCTCGGAAATCTGCAACTGGGGTCGGTGCTATTGGCACTGGTGTCGTGACGTTTTTCTTCAGCCTGGTAGTCTTTGGGGACATCGTCTCGTTTGTTCTTGGCTGTGTCAGATGGTTTGGTAAAACTGTTAACATTAAAGTTGGGATAGCATCCTAATTCACCGCTGTTGTGATGGGAATGAAATTTGAATCGCTACTACTCGAACATATTGCGCATCATTAAATTTACATGTAGTATAGAACTACAATAATGCAATATGTCATTGGTGTTTGTGAAAGCATTATTTATTAAAACAGTTGGTTTGATTGAAATCAGCATAGCTTTGTTCGAGAGTCAAGAAGTTGAGACTTGCATGTATTTGACAATTATGAAATTGCTATACGATATTATGTACGTGTTAGTTCAACTTATTTAAAGCATGGCCCATCATAAACATTTGTTACATGGTGTAAATGTTTTTGTTTGGTTCTTTTCTTCTTCAAATATTGTAAATTAGGTCTTCTTTGAGCACGTGTATAAAATTCAAAGTACAGATTTGTCATGTCATTTGGAGTAGGGTCATTATTCATGCTTGTTTGAGGTTAGTTTAGAAGATACCCTGTAAATAGCATTTTAGCAAAGTCTATGTCTCGAAACAGTTTTGAGAAGTGTGTTTTTTTAACCAAATGGATGCCCGTGTACTGTACAAAAAACGGATATGAGGGATGATTTCATTGCGTCTTAATCGTCCCAGAACACTTTTTGAGAAGAATTGGTAAAAACAAGCAGCAGAGAGACCGACGATGATCTTATCACTTCGTTAGGTAATCTTATTGTAATGAAATACATGGTGTAATATTAAAATAATATTTTTCACATTGTTTCAAACATGCCTGTGTTGATTTTACATTTAAATAAAAACATGATTATTGGTTGCCTCCATGATGGCTTTCTTGTATATCTTGTTGGTCTAAAGTTTACGTTGTCCAGAATCCGCGCTCCGGTTTACTTACATGATGCATACTGTGGGGAACAGAGGAGCATGCAAGCTGTTATGGGGGCAGCGGTATGTTAAATTGACTGTAGCACCATTCATAGGTATCTTCGAGGGCGGGGCTGGTAAGTTCTACACTGAGGGCAGCACCTGGAAATGTGGACCGATGTCCAGTTGAACATACAACTTTATCTTAGTTTGTGTCCAAGCGGGTGGGATTCTCCAGACTCTCCCGTCTGTGATGCATATACGACTGTCACTATTTCATCAGCTACTCCAGGTTGTCAAAAAAACTCAATGGCTCATGTGCCGCCTTCCCACATGCAGATTTCACGCCTCAAAAAAGTTCACAGCATGAACAATTATTTCAACATTTACAAGAACCAGAACATGCACGATAGTATTGTCCTGTATTTATTGGACTTGAAATTTGCATGATTAGTCCCTCTGCAATCTCTGTGGGAACACCAGATAAGCAGTTAGCTTGGCATTCTATAAGTTGGTGAGTAAATAAGACAACGTAAAGCTTTATTGATAACAAATGCTGTTTTATTGCGTTTTGTGACGTAGATTCGTACACTGTTATTATTTGTTTGTTTGTTATTTAACGCCACAATCAGCAATATTCCAGCTATATGACGGCAGTCTGTAAATAATCTAGTCTGGACCAGACAATCTAGTGACTGACATGCATCAACCAAGTCAACGAGCAGTCGCATCTTACGACAAGCATAGTCGCCTTTTACAGCAAGCATGGGTACTGAAGACCTATTCTACCCCGGATCTTCACTGTTATGAAGCTGAAATGACTAAAATCAAATGATGAGGGGTATGTTACATAATATGTAAGGTTGTGATAAGAAGCAGCTTAAACATTAACAAGCCAAGTAATAAATACTAAATGGCACACAGATAATTGGATGAAGCCACAAATAGCACACAGGTAATGAACACCAGGAACACCGTAAAGGAAGTTGTAACAAGCTGATTGGAGTGAGTGAGTGAGTATGGTTTTACGCCGCTTACAGCAATAATCCAACAATATCACGGGGACACCAGAAATGGGCTTCACACATTGCACCCATGTAGGGAATCGAAGCCGGGTCTTCGGCGTGACGAGCGAACGCTTTAACCACTCGGCTACACTACCGCCCTCCTAATCCAGAATGAGCCAAACCGGATTTAGTGTTACCAAACCAGACGAGTGTCACTTAGCAAGAACAAAGGCATATTTCATTACGAGTTAATACGCAGTGAACAATAAACCTAAGTGTCAGAATAATTACAACCAAACCACACAATAACAGTTAAAGGGTGCCACCAATACAACATGTTTTTAATATTGTTTTGAACAACAAGGCTACAAATTGGACTCCAAGACGAAAACCATCAACAGGCAACCTCAGCAGTAAGACCATCACCAGAAACCAGATCAACGTCCTACCCAACATGCCCCATCGACATTAAAACGAATTCATCCGCAGCATCGAAAAGGCTTCCAGCAAACACACCTCAGGTGAAATGATTGATCTTCAGAAACCCCCGCCATAAGGACAGAACCTTGTCCGAGCCGAGAAGCAAACCATGACCCCAATGATGACCTATACATTACCAGCCGACAAGGGTAGAACCAATGCCATCCATAATACGTCTGAGTTCAACTCCATGGTCAACAAAATGAGCGGTATCTGACACAACCACCTACAAAAAGCTCGAAGATCCAACCGGAAGACAAGAACGATGGCACAGATCCACCCCGAAACGCCTTAAAGACAACCTTGATCTCACTACCCAGCAAGCACAACAAACTTTCCCTCTCACATCTACAATTGCAACCTCCCTTTGCCCGTGCCACCATCAAGATCCATGAAGAACCCATCAAAGTTAGATAACTGCAGCACTGCACCCAAATACTCCCCCTCTCGGTAAGTCTGTAGTGCAGACCCCACTGACGTCAGTCAGAGCATCACTGAACCTGACTAGATCATCAGCTATCAAATGTTTTATCTCTTCACCAACGTCCCTTCTTGTGAAACCCTGCAAGTCCTCCGCCAGCACATCTCCAACCAGGATCAACCTCTCCAAAATCTTCACCATCACCTTCACCAAATCCTGCATCACCTCAACCTACATCACCTGGGGAGACGACATCTAGATGACCCATTGTTTTTAAGATAAAGCCTTCATCCTCATCCTCATCCTCATCGACATCCTCAATCCAGGCAGTTTGATGGTCCAGGGAGGTTGACGACACCTTGGTCATCCTCCACAAAAGACCAGGACCCCACCTCACTACTCCAAGGACTTCAACACCCAACACCGCGAGTTAAGTTCACCTTGGAGACAGAACAGCCAACAACTCCCCTTCCTAGACGTCTTTGTATCCAAAGACGCCACCAACGAGACCAAATCACCGTCTACCAGAAGCCTGACCATTCTGCCCAGTACATTCACTACATTCCAACCACCCCCCTAAAACTAAGTCTAGCATCTTCTCCACACTAACCACGTGAGCCAAGACTATCTGCTTCAGTAGCCTTGATCTTGTCCATGAATGTAAGCATCTGCAGCATGTCTTCGATCTCAACCAGTAACCTACCAAGCTAGTCAAGTGGACCAAACCAGAATCGGGCCCATCAGGATCATCCTTCACGACATTGGCAAGACTTCGCATCAACTCTACCGACTACTTAAGCACCACATAGGTATCGATACCATCTTCACTGTCTCCCCATCCCTTAGTACCATCTTCCAAGCTATCTATTACCTGTTGTCGTTAATGGTGCTTCTTTCAAAATAACACACCTCTCATCACTTGGTGTAAGAGCCTAACTCGAAACGTCGTCGAATACAATACACCAGAAGTTACACGCTGTTTTCATATTTAGATAGCTGTAAATACAATTTCATGTTGAAAACTTGGCCCAACAAAGGGAATCAGTCGGGTCTTTGTTTGGTTGTTGTTTCAAGCTGACGCCCTAAATAATAGAGTCTGGTTCAGAAAATCCAGTGATTGATATTGTGACCACCGATCCAGGCAATTAGGGTAAGATGACACGCAGTCAAAAGCCAGGTTCCTGGTGATCTAGTTGCCCCCCGAATCCCCACGGCTATGAGGACTTTCCTATCTATGCATGCAAAATGAATACAGACTAATGCTGACCTACTGTACTTTGTGTAGGTAGAACACGTGAGCAGATGTGCGGAGATGTAACAGTGAGGTATCTCGAATGGCAAGTAGAAAGCGCTCCTTTCTTTAACCTTGAACATCTATTTGTAACATGACACAAAGGGCAACGTACCGACGTACCTCATCGTACGTAATACATAGATTACAAAACTCGCTAAAGCTCGGGACAGGCATAGTTATTCAACTTGGCTGGTCGGGTTCTGACTTCATTATTGCGCCATTAGAACTGAACATGGGTGGGTGGGTGGGTGAGTGTGTGAGTGAGTGGGTGGGCGGGTGGCTGGCTTGGTAAGTGAGTGAGTGAGTGAGTGAGTGAGTGAGTACGCCGTTTATAGCAATATTCCAGCAACATCACAGCGATGGACACCAGAAATGGGTTTCACACATTGTACCATATGTTGAATCGAACCCGGGTCTTCGGCGCGACGAGCGAACGCTTTACCCACTAGGCTACCCCACCACCCCGTGTAATGTAAGAGAAAACATGGGTAATAAATCATTTACTCGCGCTGCCCATACCCCAGTTACTGGGTCATTATTGTGAAAGCTTACTCACATACTCCAACTGTTAAACCAGAACGGATGCCTTATGTCTAGTGTAGGACATTAGTTAGTCATTGTTGCCCACTTCAATGTTCTTCTAACCATAGTAACAATCAGTTCTCAGGGCCAAAACTTCGAACGGTGGTGCGAACACCCGGTGCCACAGATTTTCAGTGATGAATTCGTGTCATTTCCACCGCTAAATTGGCTTTCATGACCAATGGAATCGGTGGATCATCGAGACTGACTGTTCTCTGGCGTTGACGTTCTGTATTATTCGAACAGGAATAACGAGTGAAACAATCTAATTAAAGGTCTTATTTTACAATTATGTTCATGGGATATTTGTTTCTATAGAGTTGGGACTTTCTTTTCTTGGACAGTATAATCGAGACACGTAATATTATGATTGTAAATATTTATCTTTTCCAAGTTAAGTGGTATTTATTGATTAGACCTAACCAACAGGAACAGACTTATCGATATGAACTATACCATTGTCTTTGTGCAAATATGTACGGGGAAACGGGGGGTTTGTGCAATATCAACAAATGCGTGTGTCTGGTGAGGAAGATTGTTCATCGGTGGGATGGTATAATCCTTTTGAAGTATTACAGCCATGACGTCTGGACAAGGAAACCTAGTCAATCCACACACCGCGCAATCAGGACAACCGCTGTTGAAAATGCCCATGTACATTTCAAAACGGACCTCCGTTCATTTGCTTCCATAATCAAACGACATAATGATGGGGATATTTTCACGGTACACTTCGAAATAGCGTTGAAGATTGTGGAATTGTGGACATTTAATTCATGTTTGCCACTTATCGTGCCCATCCTCGGTGAAATTAATGTAAGACATTCCATCAAAATCCATATCAATACACTTATTGGAACTTTAAATTGAAGATTTAATGTAATTTTTATGAAAATATACCTTTGGTGTAGTTTTATTTGTGATGAAAATATGTTGAGTAAACTAATCCCCTAACACTGAAACACATACATCAGGTCGGGAAAGTCTGGCCTTCTTGTTTTGATAGCCCATTCAATAATAAACTTTTAAAGGTATTGTTTTCTGTTGTGAGATGAAATAAGATAATCATTATCCTTTTATTTACCTTGTATT